ATAGTGAGACCCTCTTTCAAACAAAACTTATTTCTCCAGTGAAAAACAGTGCAGTTTTAGGAAGTGGCAGAGCAGGGTTTCTACCTATCTAGCTGTTATTTAGCATACGAGGGTGTGTGTCCAGTGTTGAAAACAGTGACTCCAAAAAACTGGCTTCAGAAGGAGCCGCTTTTTGGTTTCCTATTTAAACCAGGTTTTTATATAAAATTGTAACTACTCTCAAGAGAAGCACAAAGAATTTATTCCCCCAGTATTTCTGGCATTTGGGAGACTAAGGTAAGACAACCTTCAATTTAAAACTAGCTACGTTGCAAGGTCCTATCTCCAAAACAAAAACTAAATAAATAAATAATTTTTAGAACACAATTTTAGTTCTTTTTTATGATTATGATATGAACAATTATTGTTTTTATGATAATTTATGATAAGATATGAACAATTGTTTGCTTATCTACCATGGTTGTTAGGAATTGAAGATACCATATTTCCTAAGGCATAGTTTTCAAGTATGTGTGCACTTGTGTGTGTGTTTGTGTGCTTGCACAATGTGTATGTGTGCTTGCTGGTCCTGGGAACTGAACCCAGAACTTTGAATGCTAGACAAGTATTCTCCCAGTGAGCTATACTCTAATCTTTTTTTTGCATTAGTGAAAACTAGTGTGATGTTAAAAGTAAACTAGGCTATTTGATGATAGATGGTGTTAGCTAATTTGAGGACTTAAGTGATAATTTTATGTATTCTAAGTGTAGTAATGACCCTTTGAAAGGGAGCCAGCAACTTGTTCAGATCACTGTCCCCGTCTATAGTATGACATGCTTTCTGTATATTGAGTTTCAGTTTTATACGTAATATAATTCCTTAATATAGGTGAAGTGTAGTTTGGTTCTTTGCTGTTAAAAATTGATGTGAAGGCTAGAACATCTGCCTAGCTCTGCGAGAAAGGGTAGGTTTAATTGCTGTCACTGCAAAAACAAATCGGCACAAGAAGACAGGGAGAGAAGCCAACAATGAGGGGCCAGCAAGACCCCTCACTGCGGAAAGGATATGGCAGCAGAAACCTGGTAATGAGTTGGAGCTCTAGAACACACATAGGTAGATGGAGACAACTTCATAGAGTTGTCCTCTGATCTCCACAGAAGCACCCATGCACATACATACAATAATAGTAACCAATAAAAGAAACCGACAATGGAACTGAAGACAGTAAGTTTTAGCTCTTACACTGTGGAGAATAATTCAGAAAGGGACTTCCTGAATACATTTTCTATGGGAAAACTAAACCACTGTACTAGAAATGGAAAGATCATGAAGGAAGCCTTTAGGCATTGACTCCCCCCCCCACTTTTTCCCCTCTCTCTTTTGTAGACTTTTAAATGATTTTTTTACTCAAAGCAAGGCAATTGGCATTTTTTCATTTTTCTCCTACAGCAATAGTGGTCTATTTCATGTAATAACCAACAGCAAATGGATGCCTAGGCCATTCTCAGTTAGTTGTCACCACTGCAATTTAAGAATAAATTTTATTTCTTCATGTAAATTCATTAGCAAGTAGGAGATGAATGGTCTCAAATTTATCTACAAAGAAAGGCAGACTTTCTGTGTCTCAGCCTGAGAAAAAGAGTCTACATTTGAAAAGCAGGATTAGCTAGGGACAGATTGGAGTTTGTGAGATTCCAATTAATTTAAGGTTCATTTAATTTTCTTTTCTTTTTGAGGCTGTGTTACATTAACTGATTTTTTTTTAATAAGAGTTTTTGGCTAAAACCAAGAGACTTGGCCATGTAGAAATACCACTGATAAGCAAATAGTAATATAGAAAATGCCTAGTAGTCAAGGCACTTCCTTCAGTGGCAGATATAGGTCATAATTCAGTTTTTATACACCTTCTGAAACTTAAACCTGATATTTTCAGAGATATTCTTGTCCCCTCACCCTCCCATGAAATTACTCGAGGATTTACTGGGGTAATTAGATGAGTATTTTTAAGTTGGTCTAACCTTTATATTGAATAACATTTTGTTCCTTGAGAAATTGCCTAAATTACTGATTTACTATTAGGCAAAGTATTTAGTTTTATTGGTATAAAATATAAATTATTTGAGTGTTTGAATTATGATCTAGTTGTATATAGTAAAAGATTGGTTATATTTTCAGTTTCCAGTACAAAAAATTTTATGTATGTTATATAGTTACATTGTAAGTTGTTTGTAAATGAGGAGACTTTTTATTGTCTTCTTCCCTCTCCCACCCTTCCCTTTCTTTGAGGCCATTTCTCATTCTGATTCTGTACTCCAGACTAGCTTAGAGGTTAGTCTCCCTCTGCCTCTTGAGTGCAGGAATCACGAGGGTAAACCACCATGTCTGTTTTTTGTTTGTTTTAAAAAAGCATGTTTCAAACACATTGTACATTGTTCATATTCTTTAAAAACTTTGACTTGCATTAAAATAGTTTTTTAGATTTCATAACTGTGGTAGTATATGGCCATTTGGAATTTTAAAAATGGTTTTATATAGTCTTTATACTAGTTAGTAATTATATATTATGCCAAGTAAGTTCACTATAACTGGGTATCTATGTTTACTGAATTACTTATGTTGGAAATGCTTATGCTTGATAGATAAATTCTATATAGTAAATGCTAGACTATATTTGAAGATTAGTTAGGAATATAGTCACTTAATCCCAAAGATTTGGTGGGGGGCAGGTATATTTTCCAACTACTAAATAAAGGATGTCTTTCTATTTTGGGCTTGTCAATTTTGGCAAATTAAAACTTGAGTCAGTCTTTAAATGATAGCATTAATATGCAATATTACAAAAAATTAGGAAATACAGATAGGCAGAAAATATAGACATTTATAATCCTCCTACCATTGATAACTATCAAGAATACCTTAGCACACATCCCTCCAGATAGGTTTTGTGTTTTCTGTATACAGCACATACACAGATGAAGCAGATTGTCGCTGACTTTAAATCTTTTGCTTCTCTTTAGAAAATCATGCTTAGTTCTTCAAATGCCCAGCTCTCATTATTTAGAACTCATTCTGAATTTCACCTCTCTAAAAGAGCTTCTCCAACATTTAGGCAGCTTTTAAACCTTCAACTACCTGGTAGTACTGTAGCTGCTTGATTTCCTCTAACTAGATTATAAGGAACAAGAAAGTAGAGAAGGTTGTGTCTGTACTGTAGTCAGCACTGTAGCCCTAATGTCGAGTGTACCCAGCACATGGTATGTATGTTCTTAGTAAGGTCAGGTGAATGCATGTTTAGTTAAAAAACAGTGGAATCAGAATAAGTGTAGGTTAAGTGCTCTGGAATAAAAGATAATATATACTCTAGACAGATTACCTGTGGTCTAGAAGAAAGGTGGAGATTAACTATGTGGAATCTGGAGTGGGAAATGCTGTGGTGGCTGCAACTGCAGCCTTTCTGCTTTTGTTCCCTACTCGCTTAGGTGGAGAAGTTACCAGTGCAGGCTTTCCAGAAGAGTGACAGTATGAGCATTTGGTGACGTTATGTATGCCAGTCCCTCACGCCATAATTTATAATGGTTAAGAAATATTTGTACTATGTAACTACTAGAATTTAATCACTATAATTAGGCATTTTAGAGGATTCTACTCTTGTTGTTTTAAAAGATACTGTCATGCTATTTTTGTAGACTTCTAGTCATTTCTTTGACTTTGACTTGGAACTGTATTTTCTGGATCTGGAGTTTATAAATATTTTCAAGGCTTGTGCTACATGCCCACCAAATTGTCATTTGAGAAATTTTTTTTTTTGATAAGGATTAAGTGTTTTTGAGTCTAAAGATTTTCTAGTTATCATTTATCTATAATCTTGGGTAAAACGGCTTACCCAAGATTATAAACTCTCTATACTTACTATAATACATTTATTGTATACTTATTATATACTTACCCAAGAACCCAAGAAGTATACTCTCTACACTTCATTTTGCTCCTCTGTGAAACAGTATGGAGAATAACTTCACAGCTGGTATGTGGAAATGAAGCGCTGTGAAGAGTGCTCTGTACAGAACCTGGTGCAGAGGAAACCTGGTCACCATTTGCTGGGTTTTGCCTCTGTGTTTTCTGCTGTGTGTGTGTTGCCTTTCTTTTACTTTTTCCCATGAGAAGAAGAAAAGGGCTCTGTTTCAGTTCCTTTTTTGAAAGAGTTGCTATAGAGCCCAGACTGGCTTCCAATTCTTAATCTTTGTTAGACCCCCAGATGCTTGAATTACAGGTATGTGCTACCATACCAGGCCCAAGTATATGTTTCTGAAGAAAACTGATGACAGCAGAAAAAGGGGGTGACAAAAATGTTGTGAGACAAAGGGAGAAAAAAGTTGGGAGTAACAAGAATACCTGTAGAGCATAGTAGGCAGGACCAGCGAGGTGGACAGTAACATAAGCTTCAGGGAGAGCGTGGGCGGCAACCTGTCGTCAGTTTATAGTTCCTATAGCCTTTATCCCTACCCCACCCCTGCAAGACAACATGTATTTTAAAAAGCCAGTTTGATAGGTAGAGAAATGTTTTATGGCTTAATTTGTCTTTGTTAATAGACTCACAGTAAGACAGGAACCAACAAAGTTCACTTTAGATTTTGAATAACTAAACAAATACTCCATATAGTGTAGTACATGCTACTCCAGTGTTTTATCTTCATTACAAGTGGTGTGTGTGTGTGTGTGTGTGTGTGTGTGTGTGTGTGTGTTGCTGCAGAGGGAATCCATGGCCTCGCATTAAGTGTTGCACACCACTTAACTGTAGTTCCAGCAGTACCTCATTATTAGTTTTTTAGTACAGTCTTTGACCCAGAATATTACTGTATTTTAAGATCTTTGTCTCGTTTTTGTTTCTGATGATAAAAGATGTAATAATAAATTCTCAGAAATTAAGGAGAAGTTATTTAATTTTAGATCAAATACCTTAAGACACATGTATATTGACACTGGTCCTAGCAACTAACTTATTTTTAATTATTGTGGCCAGAAACAGCAGATGAAAATGGTAAAACCCAGAGAGCTGATGATTTTGTCTTGAAGAAAATAAAGAAGAAAAAGAAAAAGAAACACCGAGAAGACATGCGAGGAAGACGCCTTAAGATGTATAATAAGGAAGTACAAACCGTCTGTGCTGGCCTGACCCGCATCAGCAAGGAAATTCTCACCCAAGGACAGCTAAATAGCACTTCAGGAGTTAATAAGGAGTCCTTCAGATATCTGAAGGATGAACAGCTGTGCAGACTAAATTTGGGCATGCAAGAATATCGGGTGCCCCAGGGAGTACAGACACCTTTTACAACGCACCAAGAACACTCTATTCGCAGAAATTTCTTAAAAACAGGTACTAAATTTAGCAACTTTATTCATGAAGAGCACCAGTCCAATGGTGGTGCTCTCGTCCTTCATGCTTACATGGACGAACTCTCATTTTTGTCTCCAATGGAGATGGAGAGATTTTCTGAGGAGTTTCTTGCTTTGACATTCAGTGAGAATGAGAAAAACGCTGCCTACTATGCTTTAGCAATAGTGCATGGAGCGGCTGCTTATCTCCCAGACTTTTTGGACTATTTTGCTTTCAATTTTCCCAACACTCCAGTGAAAATGGAAATTTTGGGCAAGAAAGATATTGAAACAACCACCATTTCAAATTTTCACACTCAGGTAAGGTAAAATTATTGTTCAATTGGATAGTAAATATAGTGTCTCAACAGTATTAACCTTATTGTGTTGCATAGCACACACCTGCACACATTATAAAAATTCCTGGTAATAAAAGTACTTCAGACCGCCTGTTCTTTAAATTGTAATTCCTAATTGCTGAGATCTTTGGTGTAGGACTTGCTACTTGCTTGAGGAAATGTTTTATACATCATTGTGAGTTTATGGAAATTGGCTTGAAAATGAATCCAGACTTCAAACTCAGGTAATACTACTGTAGACTGTCTATAATTTAGTGTGATAGCCTCACGATAACATTAGTTATGACTCTGATACCAGGATAGAACACTTAAGGGTATTGGCTTATTTATTTACCAGGTTTTGCTTACATTCTTTTAGTAACTTGTTGGCAGTCTGTCCTAGAAATACACCCCAAGTGTATGGCTTGGGAATGTCACTGGAGAGACCGCCATTGCCTCTGCTCCTTCTGCTTGGACACTGTTGTAGATAAAGGATATTCTGAAGCCTTGCTTGGGCAGTTAGGCTTAAGTCAGCAGGGAACTGTTCCTTTCTAATATGTTTTTAGCCAAGTGTTCCTTTCAGTGGGGTTATTGTAGAGATAAAAAAGAACAATAATAGAGTCTGAAGGTTTTTAAAATTTTTTGGTTTGCTTGCTTTTCTCAGAAAGATTGTGAATGTGAACGGGCAGTACTAAGCTATTCTGTAGACGCTGTGATTCAGGTGTCACTTTTTAAAGATTGTATGGTCTGCTCTTTCAACTTTTAGAGTGATTTACTGCCATTCTTTTCCCTTAAATTTTTTTTGAGGTAAATAAAGTTACATAATCCGACTCTCAGCTGCTTATATTATAGTGAATTCAAGTCACTTTGACTTGCCTGAACCTTCCTCTAACTTGAATTTTTTAGTGAGTCTTACCATCCTTGCCTCCAACGAGGGGAGTATCCAATTTAGGTGTATGGACTTCAGACTTTTTCTAATTGAAGTTCTCTCTGCAGTAGAGAGAGCAGGAGCAGCTAATCTGGAGAGTTCGCAAGATGAGTCTGCCCAAGATGTTGGAACTGGATGTGCAGTAAAGGGCTTCGTCTTGGATTTTGGCCTTGTTACCACAATCAGGTACCAAAGTACAGACTTTTGTAGTACATTTTCCTTTCTTTTTCTTTTTTAAAGGAGTTTTGTCCTTTGAAAGTTAAAGAATCCTACTTTTATAAATACTGCAGAAGAGAAAAGAAACAGCTCTAATCTAGTTGTAGTTAACAGAGGTGCTGCTGAGAGCGGATTTTACATGTTCCATCACTTTTTTTAGATTAGAGAAATAAATTTTCATTCTGACAGACCAGCAAGCATATCTGAAAAAGAAGTCAGAAATTTGTGGGGGGAGATAATGGTTTTGGAAAGGTGACTTTTCAACGTTCATATTAGTCTATAGTTGAGTTTGTATGTCAACAGACTAATTAAGACATCTCAAAATAATATTCCCTGCTGATTTTTGTCCTCCAGTTAATTTTTTAAATGGAGCTGATATTTAAATGACTGTACCAACAACTTACCATGAGATTCACTTTGTGGTTTATAAAATAAGTACTCTTAAAGAATATGCTAGATTATTATGGAATTAGATATTGCTACTTTAGACATACAAGAGAACTGAAGGTTGTGGGTCTTGTTGCGCTTGGTCTTCAGGAACTTAAGTTTCGTATAGCCCATGAAACTTGAAGTTTGCATTTGTAAATGTTTGATGGATGTGGAAAAGTAGGCTAGCATGTTAGTTCACATTTGTTCACGGCGTGTAGAAATGTTTTCACATTCATATCTGAGCATTTGCAACAACCAGGAGGTAGGTAAGCAATCAATCTCTGTTGTCCATTGAAGAAACTGTTCATTTGTTAATGAAGTCATAAATTTAGAAAGTAGAAGAGTCGGGATTGAAATCAAGGCTGTCTGACTCCTTCTGTAACTACAGGAGAAGAGATTGTGGTTGTGAAGTTAAAATTGTGTCTCATCTTAAAGTAGAAAAAGCTTTGCTTTTAATATTTTTCAATAAATATGCTTATATTATGGGAATTAATTGAACAATTGGGATATTTTGGAAATCTGTTTTATAGTCTTAGGAACTTCTGTTAAACGTTAAATAAAGTCATAATAAAAATTGTTTTTTTCGTTTGTTTTTGTTTTTGTTTGTGTATGTTTACTGTTTAATAATGTAGCCATAATAGTTGTCTATGACTGTATTTCAAGATACTTTCTTCTTCTTCTTCTTCTTCTTCTTCTTCTTCTTCTTCTTCTTCTTCTTCTTCTTCTTCTTCTTCTTCTTCTTCTTCTTCTTCTTCTTCTTCCCTCCTCCTCCTCCTTCCTCCTCCTTCCTCCTCCTCCTTCCTCCTCCTTCCTCCTCTTTCACTTATTTTTATTTTATGTGCATTGGTGTTTTGCCTGCATGCATGTCTGTGTGAGGCTGTCAGGTCCCCTCGAAGTAGCTGGCAATTGTGAGCTGGCATTTGGGTGCTGGGAATTGAACCCAGATCCTTTGGGAGAACAGTCAGTGCTCTTTAATCATAGCCATCACTCCAGTCCCTGAACACTCCATTCTTAAAGGACTAGCTGATAAGTTTAACCTAGTAGGGAGATGAGTAAAATAGCAATTATAAAACAGTTTAAGAAGAATAGAGGTGTGCACAGGGGAAATCCTGTTGTTGAGAGAGCAGAGTTTGTGGTGATTTTAGAAGGTATTTTAAGACACGTTATGCTTAAGGAGGTTCTTAGAAACAGATCAATACTTGACTTTGTGTACTCATTGTTAATCAAAAGAAATTTTAGCCTATGCAAAATACAGTCTTGAGAATGTGCCACATCCAGGGAACTGCGAACAGCTTGATAAGCAAAAGGGCGTTCTCATTGTTAAGGATGGTAAGAGTGAGGAAAGGGAGAGAAAATAAGACTAAGGGGTGGTTAAAAGTGTGAAGCTTTATATGATATACTAAAATCTTTTTCTAAAGATAATGGGGATTATTAATGACTTTTAATAGGGGGAGTACAACAAATTATAAAGATTAAAGGGTAAGGTCAAGAAAACTGATAAGGTTATTATAGTAACTAGAGAGAAAAGTTCTATGTCCAAACTGATGTCTTTTGGAGAAAACAATGAGATTTGAGAAATTATTCAATGGATGTTAACTAGATTTAATGGAATAGGGTTAGTTTTAAGATGTGGCTTAGAGAACTAGGAAGATGATGGTGATAAGGCTTGTTCCTAACTAGATTTATAACTTAAATAAACTCATTTATATAATGTATGTTTTATTACATGGTATTATCTCTCTTCCATCTTGTACCTCCTGTTTCCTTTTCATGTCTCTTGTCACCTCCCCCTTTCTTCTTCCCAGAGTTCTCTCTTTCCCTGGAAGTCCTGCCTAACCTCTACCTGTCTAGCTATTGGCCATTCTGTTCCTTATTAATCAGAAGGTGCCTTGGCAGACACATCTTCACAGTGTGAACAAATATTCTGCAACAGGGGTGCTGTGGTATTTAAGAGATCTTTTGATGTATTTTTTACTTCTACTCCTTCTTTAATAATAGAGATTGAAACCAGGATTTTGTGTGTGCTGGGCAGGTGCTCTTCTATGGAGTCTGTAGGGCCCAACTGTTAAGAGATATTTTGAACTAGAGATGTACATTTAGGCTTATGTTTATAAAGATTTAGTAGCTGGATATGTGGGTCTAAGGTTAGGAAATGCAGGTTTTGGATTAATAAACATGTAGGCAAAGCAGAGATGGTAGCAGAATGGGGAAGAGGTAAAGGTAAAGGCGCAATGTACCTTCATGTAAGTGTGAGAATTCGGGAAGAGACCAAAAAAGGAAGGCAGACTAGGATATGTTTCCTAGATTTTATCTATAATGGAGTAATTAAAAAATTAAAACATAGCCTACAGGTGAGATGGCACAGTGGTTAAAAATACTTGCTGTGCAATCATGAGGCCTGGATTTGGATTCTAATGCTCATTTAACTAGCTGTGGGTCTTAGACACATTTGTAACTTCAGCTCAGATACCCTCTTTGCACATGTGGAGGCATACACATCACACATGTGCATGTACACTTACAGACACAAAATAAATCTTTAAAAAATGATACAGCATATGATGGATCAAATAAGATAAAGATGGAAAAGTGTTTGGTTCACAAGTTAGGAATTTAATTGAAAATATTTCAAGACCAATACTTTGCAAAACACTGTGGTGGTGGTGAATTTTAAGAATTGTAAATTATAGCTTTTCTTTAGAACCTTGCTATCAAAATATGCTTGAGTGTTTTTGGCATCACCACAAATGTATGCTCTTGATTTTACTGAGATTTTCCAAATCAGAGTCTGCGTGTGTGCAGATTCCTTGATGATTCCTATGCACATGAGGGCTCACTAAGCGCTGCTTTAAAATGATGTTTTCTAGCTGGAGGAGGTTATACATAAGCAGCACATTCCAGGAAGGATTTACCTAATAATTGGTAAGGATGGTAGTTTAAACAGAGATGGACAATAATTGGCTACAATAAGTAGTCTAAAGATATCTGAAGGTGGTTTCTGAAGTGCCTCATTCCAGATTGCCACAATCACAGAGTTCTTAACAGTTAGCCTTGAGCTGGAGAGATGGCTCAGTGGTTAAGAGCACTGCCTGCTTTTCCAAAGATCCTGAGTTCAATTCCCAGCAACCATATGGTGGCTCACAACCATGTGTAATAAAATCTGGTTGGTGCCCTCTACTGGCCTGCAGGCATACAGACAGAATACTGAGAGTACTCTATACATAATAAATACATAAATCTGTATAAATACATACTGTATACATAATAAATACATAAATGTATACATAATAAATAAATCTTAAAAAAATCAATTAGCCTTTTGGAATCTTTAACTTAATCCAGGCACCTCTGTTTTCTCTTCTGAGAACTTCAGCTCATGAAGTAAACTATAGGCTTGTTTTTTTGTAAGA